CCCCAAAACCCCAAAACCCCAAAACCCCAAAACCCCTTAGAGTGGAATGGATATTGAGAAGAATTTGATAGATTTTTTGATTTATTGATCAATTGGGGTTTCAGTCATCTCTCCATCTTCGTAAAGGTCGTTATTATGAGTCTTTAGAGGTATATCCCAGATATAATGAGGAGTAAACGCTTTGGTTGATTTAAACTTGTTATACATTTTTATCCCTGTCAATGCATCATTTTTTGAATACTAAACAATCCAATCAAATCCTCCCAAAAACATACCACAACACCTTCGACCTCTTCATAATCAGACCAAACTCTTCCTTTCTGATGTAGGTTTAAAATCTCGTTCCTAATCTTGACCAACTTCTGTGCTCTAAAAGTTAAAAACTCTTTAATACAAAGAGGCCATCTTCTTCATGTAACTCTGTATGTCCTTTCCATATTCCTCAATGAACTGTACTATCTGGGGACTTGGTAGGTCAGTCTCGGCAAGCACGCTTTCTATGTAATCAGGATGGTCCTTGTTCACACATTTGAGAATCCGCTTATTTGCACTAGAGGTTAGATTAGTGGAAGCATGGAGATAGTGTTGAAGGAAATTTGGAAGGATAAGAGGATTAGAGGATTTACTCAGAATTTTCTTTTGAGTTGGGTTGGAGTGCAGTTTTTGAAACTCACCCTCCAAGCTTTGTTTTCGGGGTTCATTAAGCTATCCAGGATGTCTAAGGGTTTTGCGATGGGGTTAGTGTGAGAGAAGGTTAAATTAGTCTTAAATTTTATATTTACTTGCATTTCTGGAATATTATTAACTTACTTTTAAAGCTAGTCTTGATAAACTTAGTTCTTTGATCGCTAAAATATCTTTAAAATCTTACCTGAAATCAGAAATCTGTTGATAACTCTGCTCAAGAGCAGAGTACCTAACTTCTTCAGGATTGTTCATCAATTTATCACCTAAAACATTGAAGTAATATCATCCAATGATCCCTTCAGCCTATTGATTTCTTGCTTCAAATTTTGATTTTCTTTCAACAATTTTTTAATTTTTCACTCAAGTGTTGAAATATACTTCTTCTTCCTTTCCCTATGCTCCTTAGACCTAATTTTCGAAGACTTCTTCCCCTTCTCTTCCATTTTCAATAATTATACCTTCAAACGGGGTTTTGGGGTTTTGGGGTTTTGGGGTTTTGGGG